CCCTGGCAGCAGCCTACCAAGATGCTGTTAACACCCCTATTGCCCCCCATCCCTTCCAACCAGGTGACACCGTCTGGGTCCGGAGGCATCAGGCTCGAAGCTTAGAGCCTCGCTGGAAAGGACCGTGCACAGTCCTCCTCACCACCCCTACAGCCCTCAAAGTGGATGGGATCGCAGCCTGGATCCACGCCTCACACGTCAAAGCGGCAGAACCTGCGCACCGGGAGTCCCAAACAGGAGAGCAGCAAGAGAGATGGTGACTGACACGAACATCAAACCCTTTAAAGATAAGACTGGTCAAAAATTAATAACCAGAGTTCTGACCCTTATACTTTTAGTCAAAAACATAAGAGGTGGCCTTCAACCATTTAATGCTACTAGGTTTATGCTAACCCGGTATGGTCCCCCTTGTGAATGTAGAGGTGGCCATTGGGAAGCCCCACCGGGTACATATTTCCGGTCTGTAAATTGTGGAGACAGGACTGCATATCTTGGTACTCAAGGTACACCTACTCAGCAGCACCAACAGAGCTGGAAATGTGTGTCTAAGCCTAAACCTATCTTACCACCAGCTAATGGTGAGTGCCCCTCTGATTGTAATTTCGTCGAAGCTATGCACTCATCCTGTTATGCTTCTTTTACTGAATGTCGGTTCAATAACATCCTGTATTTTTATTCTACGGCCATTTCTTATAAAAAGGCCTCTGGGGGCTCAGATTGGAGTCTTAACACTCAGGTAATAGGACCAGAAAGTTATAATTCAAAAACCCTTAGTGCAGGCTGCTATGTAGAACCTGGACAAAAGGCATGTTGGCCCAACAAGCTCCGATTCACATATCAGATGGAGGGGGCCCTACAGACCAGGTTAAAGAAAATTATGTCCAAACTGTGTTGCAAAAACAAAGGGAGTCTCTCTTGCCCCGCCTTCATTACCATCCACTATTGCTACCCAAACCTAGAGGCCTTAATTTAGACCCTCAGACCATGGAGATCCTTACTGCCACCCATGATGTCCTAAACCGTTCCAACCCTTCCCTGGCAGAGGATTGTTGGCTGTGTCTCGCATTAGGAATTTCATGGCCTCTAGTTTTACCTTTAAGTAACGAGTCTAATATACTCCCCTCTCCGGATATTTGTAGCTATACCACGCCTTTTAAGGTCCAGCCTCGCTACTTCAACACATCTATTTGCCTTTTTAGTCCCTTTCAAAATAATTCCTTTGATGTAGACCTCGGATTAGCTATGTTTACTACCTGCTCTAGGTTTATAAACACCTCTCAGACAGGCTGTTTAGGGGGGGGAAAATTTATGTATGTGGAAATAACATGGCCTATCCTTATTTACCCACTAACTGGACTGGTTCATGTGCCCCTGCATTGCTCTTGCCAGACATAGACATAATTCCAGGAGATGAGCCTGTGCCTTTGCCTAGCTTTGACACATTCGTTCCTAGGCACAAACGAGCGGTCCAGTTTATTCCATTGCTTATTGGACTGGGTATCTCAGGAGCCCTCGCTACGGGCTCAGCTGGTGTAGGAGTGGCAATAGACACTTACAACAAATTATCTCAACAGTTAATTAATGATGTAAATATGGTCTATCGGTCTGTACAAGATCTTCAGGACCAGGTAGACTCACTAGCCGAGGTTGTCTTACAGAATAGACGGGGACTTGATCTACTAACAGCAGACAAGGGAGGTATCTGTTTAGCATTACAGGAAAAATGCTGTTTTTATACCAACAAGTCCGGGATCGTCAGAGATCGGATTAAAAAACACCAAGAGGAACTAGAAAAAAGGCGACAGGAGCTTTTTGCTAACCCCATGTGGGGCATGTGGAACGGAATTCTGCCTTACCTTCTACCCCTTGTTGGGCCCCTGGTTTGTCTTTATCTTTTTTAGTGGTGAGTTGAAGCTGTTTACATTTAAGGTTATTATAGAAAAGGGCTTGCTAGTTCTTACGCATTTGCTTGATGTTTTGCTGAATTATTTTGAAAAAATAAAAGTCAGGAGCCATGAAGTCTCTCAGGCAGGTCGCGTACCGGTCAAGAATTCCAACTTACTGATAAGTAAGTTTTATGGCCGAGACATCTGGCTTGCCAATAAGTAAGTTTTATGGCCGGGACATCTGGCTTACTGATAAGTAAGTTTCATGGCCGAGACATCTCCAACTCACTGATAAATAAGTTTTATGGTTGAGACATCTGGCTTAGTGATAAGTAAGCTCCCCGCTCTCCCTGTAGCATTTTGTAATAGTTTAAACTAACCAATAACCGCGTTTCTGCTTCTGTATCCCACTTCTGCTCTATAAAAGTTCCACAAACCCGACCTGAGGGGCGCAAGTCCCCCGAGGAGACTTTGTGCCCACAGGTACCTGTGTACTAAATAAACCTCTTGCTGTTGCAACCCGAAGGCTGGCGTGTCCTCTGTGGTTTCACTCTTACAGTTTGAACACTGGGTGGCACTGTTTGAGGAGGATTAGGAATCTTCAGGAGGAAGTGAGTCATTGGACAGACCTGGAAGCTCTGTCACCCAGCCTGGCTTGTGCTCTCTGCTTCCCCAGTGCGAGTCCCAGAGCCAAAAGCTCTGTCTGTGCCCACAGACCGTTATCTTCCCCACATGCTACTGTGTCTTCTCCACTGTGATGGAGTGAACCTCTAAACTAAAAGAAATGCTTCCTTCCTTCCATAAATTGCTTATGCCACCAGCCACTAAGAAGGGGAATTGAGGGCAACAGGCAACCTAGGAGGATGGGCTGCTTCCCTCCAATATGTAGTGGGCAAAGATTGTGGTTACCTCACAAGAGGTTAGGAAAGAGCGGTTCTCAGGGTGGAGGATGATGCTGGTTAGTGGGATAGGGGTTATGTTTAACAGGATGTGGGTAGGTTATGTTGGTTACTAAGGGCAAAATAGGGGATTGGTTATCTTACTGTAGAACCCTGACACCCTCTTCATTCACCTGCTACCCCCCAATCCCTCTAGACCCCCACTAATTGCTTTTTTAGCTTCTGTAAAATGCTTGGCTGCTGCTTTAGACATGCCTAGACATACCCTGGCATGCCCTGACCCCCGCCTGCTATTCCTCACCCCACTTCCAGGAAACTATAGATTAAGCAAGCCCGAGCATAAAAACTGCCCTATAAGGTAAAAATGGAGACTCCTGGCCCCACAGGTAACAGTCAGCACATTCCACAGCCCTGAGAATAGCACCTACCAATAAGAAACTTCAAGGGCTGCATCTTATACATACAATCAGTTTAAAATTATGTTGGCGCGCACGGGCTCCTTGAACCAACCAAAATGTATCTTCGGTATCCCCCCCCCCTTTGTCTAAAACCTATAAAAGGCTCCACTCTCCCTTACTCTGGGCTCTCAGCACGGATCCATTGAGTTGGTGAGGTCTGAGAGCCCGAGCTTAAGCCCAAATAAACCATAAACCTTTGCTTTTGCATTTTGGTGTGTTGGGCCCTCGGTGGTCTTTTTGGGGTCCAGTGGATGAGGGACAACATTACCAGTAACTCTGGCCAGGCCTAGACTCAAGCATAGCATAGGTCCATGTGCTTGGGAGACCAGGGAGCATTCCTGGAGCAAGAACTCAGAAAACTAGTAGAAATCAGTGCCTCACTATGGTTAAGTGCCTTTTTAAAAGATCGTCTGCCTCATTTATTTAACTGGTAAATAAAAGACTGAAGAAAGAATGAGCTTATCCATTGTAAAGACGCTGAACACGGGGAGCAAACTAGCATAACCAGACCTGTCCAGCTTTTTTTTTTTTCTTCAGGTGAGGAGGAGAAGTTTAATTTTATGCTAGCAGGACTGACCCCAGGAACTAAACGAGTCAGACCCTTTGTTCAAGTTTTAGAGAGTTTTTATACTCTTGTGAGGAATGCAATCAAAAGGTACATAGCATATACACGGTAGTTAAGTAAGATAATATAGGGTGGCAAAGATAAAAGAAATGCAAAGGTTATAGGAATGCAAAAGCCTTAGGCAACAAATATTTCTATACAGGAATGTGATAGCTTTGGAAAACAAAGACTTCTATCCTGGATAACCACCAGGGGCAGGGGAATATTCCTGTTCACTTCCCCATTTCTATCTCTAGGCTTTCCCTGCTCCAAAGTTCTTAATTACCATCACATTGCAAAAGCTTTTAGCATCTAATATGCACTTTTATTTCTATAATATCCCCTCCTTTTCATTGACATAATTCCTTATGTAAGAGGAACTTTAAGATATTTTTGACAAATTACCTGGCATTGAATGGCCTCTACTTGTTTTTGATAAATTTAGTGAGTTTATTTTCCAAGATTTTAACAGGAAAGCTAATAGAACCATGACTACTGGTTCTGCTAGTGAGGCTAGCCAGGGACCTTCCAGGTACTTTAGAAAGACTCATTTTTCCTTTTTCGGGACTTTATTCTCTTCAGTAGTGATTGCTTGCATTTTTCTTACTATGTCAGATTGATTTGCATAAAAACAGCACAAATACTTTCCTTTCTGATGGTTCTGGCACCTCTATTCTCAGGGATAAGTTTATTGGCAGATTTAAGGAAATTTCCAGCTCCTAGTTCAGAAAGAAACTGGTGGTTTTCTTTTGGGGTCTTTACTTTAAAACTGTCTAATTTTTATCTTTTACTTTTATTACTTTTGAAGAGGTAACCCAATTTGCCCATGGGGAATTGGTACACAGACTGCTCTGGCTTCTTCCATGCTGAACAAAGGATGCAGGGTGTGGCAATTGGGGTACCCCACTTCAGTAGGTCTATCTAAAAGACTCCCAAATTGCATAAGTTTTAACTGTAGGGAGAAAATAAAGTCCTTGACCAATGCCTGGGAGATGTGAAGGAAAAGTAAAGGCAAGAATAGTTAGCATTACAAGTGCTAGACAGGGAACCAAAAAAAAAAAATCAGAACAGGGCAAAATTTAAATGTCCAAATCAAAGCCCATTAGAATTTCCTGATGAGGGATTCCAAGAGAGTGCATCTATTGGGTTCCTCCTCATTTTTCTTTTGGCCACCAAGGCTGAACTCAAGAGTGATGAACTCAGGAATTGTTTTCAGATATTCTAATAGCTTTCGGAGTGGCTAGACTCAGTCTTCTAAACAGGGAGAGAAAATAAATTTAGCCATCACTTTAGAACAATATTAGCTGCAAGTGGGCACTACAGACTGATTAGAATTTCGTCAAGGTAATCGGTCTTGGTTTTGAAACGGGTTTGTTGTGACATTTTATCTAACCACAGTATTTATTGTATGAGACTGTATAGACTTATGTTTAATATTAAGGGAACAATTATTAAATAATAATTTACTAGATATCAAATTGACTTGTCAGTAAGTTCTCATGTAAGCTAAAATTGTTAAATTACAACATGGCTCCTATTACTTAAGAATATAAATTAATTTTTAGAAATTAATTGCTTCTGCTCCAGGGTGTAATTTATCTCTATGTTTAGATTATGTTTTATATAGAATAAACATTTTCCAATTCTATGTAAAACATCCTAAGGGGCTACAGGGAGACCCTGTCTCAAAAAGACCGAAAAAAAAAAACAAACCTGTTTCAAGACTTACAAAAACATCTCAGTTTATACATTATAATAATATATTTAAGATAATTGTTCATCTCTCTATATATAAGGTAAAATATTAACGGCTTGGTAAATTTGTTTATAAATATTATTAAAAGGGTTTGCTAAAGTCTGAGAAGGGTTACAGCACAGTTTTCCTTAGTTGATTATGCTGGAGGTTGGATGTCAGTTACGTCTCTTTACCTTGTATTTATACACCTTCTTTGATAGCTCATTCTCTGAACTACACAAAGTGAAAGACTTTAGTGGTTTTGTGTTTTCTATAAGGTCTACCTGGGAGCTTAAAGCCCAGTGTATACATGAGTAATATTAACTCATTGTATTATCTTAATATATATAATTTAGATTCCATGTTCTTTTACTAAGATGATGCTGCACTGCACTCTTCTAAGTCAAAGAACTACCATCTTCATGACTTCACTGTGCCTGCTTACAAAAGGTCATCACAATTGGGCTTGCTGAGGGTTATATTCCTTCATTAAAGGGTCATTGAAACCTCAGTATCAGCCATGGATATCAGCCAATGGCTGAGTATCCAGCCATTCTTCCCAGCCAAGTGTATACAATTCTGCCCTAATTGCAAATGGTCTTCTTAATTTAAAAGGGACTATAATAGTAAAGATTTATATATAAAGATTAAAAGGGTATTTCCAGAATAGAAGGGATAATGAAATTCATCTTAAGCAAACTTATTAAAGGTCTGAACAGGTTTATCAAGACATAGAGTTGTTAATTTTCAGTCCTTTACTGGCTTGTATTGCACAACAGATTACAGATTTGGATTAAATAGATGAAGACAAGTATTGGGTTACCTATGTCTACTGAAAGAAGTCTTTTATGATTCTCTGTATTATGTAAATGTATTTTATGTTTCTCTGTATTATGCAAATGTTACTTTTGACACTTTCTTTTGCCCATAACAGGAATAATTTGGCTCAAGAAAAACTAGATTTTACCTCCTTGAACCAGATGTATACAAGCTAGAAGAAAATAGTTTTGGTGAAGCTTGGTCTGAATTCTGATAGAAAGGCCTGTCTATAGGTATGTGATATGATGCCTCCCTTCCTTCTGAAAACTGTAAATCAGGGTATGGGAAACTGGAAAGGAAAAGAGACTGCTTCTGTTTGTAATAAAACAGCCTTCATTTGAGGCACACCTCTTGTTTTAAAGTCCTTTTCCTGAGCTGTGCCTAGTTAACTGGAAAAGATGAGAAATCTTTTTCAGTCAATGTTTATTGAGAATGTTTGGGTTTTTTTCAAGACTTATCTATATATTACACAGTAATTAAAGGTACAAGGCTGGTGCAAC